ACTAATTCGTGTCCTCATACATGTACTTTGGATAATAATGATCATCATATTCAACCGTCCGTCATTAATTGCCCTATGCCCCCTCCCTTCCCCTCCAACCCCTCTGACTATCTAGAGTTCCTCCCATGCTCCCTCTCCCTATCTTACTATGAATCAGCCTCCTTATAGCAAAGAAAACATTTGGCATTTGTTTTTTTTGGGGGGGGAGTATTGGCTAACTTCACTTAGCATTATCTTTTCTAACTCCATTCATTTACCTGCAAATGCCATGATTTTACTCTCTTTTATTGCTGAGTAATATTCTATTGTGTATATATGCCACATTTTTTTTTAAATCTATTCATCTGTTGAAGGGCATCTAGGTTGGTTCCACAGTTTAGCTACTGTGAATTGTGCTGCTATAAATATTGATGTGGCTGTGTCCCTGAAGAATGCTGTTTTTAAGTCCTTTGGGTATAGACCGAAGGGAGGGATTGCTGGGTCAAATGGTGGTTCCATTCCCAATTTTCTAAGAAATCTCCATACTGCTTTCCATATTGGCTGCACCAATTTGCAGTCCCAACAGCAGTGTATGAGTGCTTTTTAAATGCATTTTATTGGTACATTACAATTATACAAACTAGTGGGATTTATTGTGATATATTTATTCATGCACATAACATAACTTGATTAATTTCATTGCCCAAGTATCTCCAATGACTATTTGAAGTTCTTTTTCCCCCTACAGCAGTTAGTTACAGAGATAACAGGCAAATTAGTGATAATTTATTTGATTCTGATGAAATCAGATTGAGAAAACATTAGATAACTATCACCCACATAGTACACACTTAGGATAAGATGGCACTAGGTTTTTATTTCTGATCCAGAAATAAAAAATGGATCAGATAAACTGGATCAGAAATGTATATGATATACTACTGATCTTTTTAAGTACATCTGATATTTTGGGGATTTCATCAATCTTATTTCAAAAAAATTTCATGCTTCATCCAGTAAGTTGTCATTTTCCTTTGAAGTGGTAATAAATCTTGGGATTTAGCTCTTGACTCAATTATTGTTCCCTTTGCTGTAAAATTTATTTTGACAAATGCATGAAATATTTGGTAATAATATTAGGTCCCATATTATTAGTGTTCTACAGAATGTTTCTTTTTCAAATTTCTTATCTATTGAATATATATAATCATATGTAAGATGCAGTGCTGCATGCTGGAGGGAACAATTCGCCTTTAAAAGATGAGATGTCCAATTTTTAAAGTTTCTTTATTTTTGTGTCTAACCTTAATAAACATTAGTGCACTTTGATCAAGTTATTGTGACACAAGCAAGAGACAGTGTATGTAAACACCTAACTCATAGAAGAAATTAACATATTTTTAAAAGTCTGTTTTATCTTTTTTCCTGTTTTTATAATATCACTATAGTCAATTACTATTTAAATGAAATATAGAGAATCGAATAGTAAACCACCCATTTATGTATATAGAAGATCTGTGATCATTTAAGACTTGTAAATCTCACTTTTTTTAAAAGAGAAAGAGAAAGAGAGAGAATTTTTAATATATTTTTTTAGTTTTTGTTATCTTTATTTTATTTTTATGTGGTGCTGAGGATCAAACCCAGTGCCTCTCGCATGACAGGCGAGCCCGTTACCCCTTGAGCCACATCCCCAGCCCATAAATCTCACTTTGAGCAGACAATATTCATGAGATCTCATCATAAAATAGCTCTATTTCTGTCTAGCACTGCCCCCTTTTATGTATTCAGGAGGTTGAATAGTTCTCTGTTCCTGAATGAAACCCCAGTGGGTTTCCTAACTTTTCTAGTCACTCTTAGGTGATTCAAGTCCTCTCATCAGTAATTAGAAACTCTAGTCTTATGTTAGTAGTGAAAACATTGAATTTGTATGACCAAAGTCTTTTTCTGCCTTCTACTTCCCAGGCCTGGTTATAGGTTGGATGACTGTAATTGAGGGAAGGGATGAAGTTGCTTTTAAATTTTCCCTATCTTGGATGTCTTTTCCTTTACTCCAGGGACTCTATTATCTTCTCAACACATTTTGATCCCTCTAGATTTGGAGCATAGGAAAATAGGTGAAATTAATGGATATGAAATTGGAATGTTCTTACTGCAGTACCACTATTGCAAGCTGATGATACACTCTCCAGGCTTTGCAAAATTTGAGTTTGCTTATTCTCTCCTAGAGAGTCTATAACTGGCACTCTATTCTGCCTTATTGAATATTTCTCATTATCCCCTAGATACTCTGCTGAAGTTTCCTCATTTCTGTGACAGCCTCTTAAACTGCATCTAAGATGACCACACATTCTATGATTATTGATTCATTTTTCTCTCGCATGTGTAGCCCATATGTGGCCACAGATACCTTGTTCTTCAAAGCAGTGATCTCAGTGGCTAGGTAGACAATTAGACAGGGTCCCTAATAGTGTCCCTATTATTGCCTAGAGAATGAAAGCTCCTTTGGTTCCCTGGGAGCTCCACTCAATTGGCTTGACAGAAAAGCAGACACCCTACTGTCCTGACTTTTTAGTGGAGTAAAAAGACTGGGACTCACATCTCAGATCTCTCTGGAGAAATCTATTTGAAAATGAGTCCACTGTTTCCTGGTTGCCTCACTGTGGGTGAAGAGTTAGAGCCATATAACTAGGTTTTCAGAAACACAATTTGTAAATGCTGCATGTAGTCTTAATCGCCCTTTGAATTGAGATATCTATTGGTTCTTGGTACTTCAGCTGAAAATTCTTTTTATCAATCTAATACTCTGCAATAAGATTACTAATTAGCATCAATAAAAGTAGACTATTTCAATTGTATAATTGAATTAAAATATAGAATTCAAATGAACAGATTGTGTATGACATTCAAATAACATGAACAAAATTTTAAAGTTCAACTAAAAATGGAAAATATCATTGAGCTTCAAGGAAACTGGAGACATGAATTTGAAACAGAACCACCTAACTTGCCATCATTTCTTGATTTCATAAGATAGATAATCTGAATATCAGTTTATCTCAAGTATAAAAAAGATAAAGAGGAAGGAAAGCCTCTGTGATTCAGAAATACAGGTAAACATTTAGTGAATCTGTTTCCTTAAACTGAATGTTGGGAGTATACCCGGATTATGTATTTTATGACAATAAGACCTCATATGAAAATGGAAATTTCCAAATTCATTTCTGTCATTATTCTTGTGATAGTGACATGAAAAATTTATTTGTCAACATAAATGTTACCTTTTGTTCAGAAAGGGCCTAAAATAGAGAATTTTGGGGTAGGTCTACAGAAAAGAAAGTTATTTTCACTAATTATTGGGAACAATCCACTGAAGACCCTGGTTAATTAGTATGTGAGTAATTAAAGCAGTATGAAAAACATAGCTGATAATGCAAAGATGAGAGTTTGCTAAGGAATTTGTTTATTTCCAGTTATGATTCTACTACTGGCTTTTGTCAAATAGTATAATTATTTAAATTTGATTTTTATAACTAACCATTTGGTGAAAATACAGTCTATATTCCAAATGAAAATAGCTAATTTTTTGTTTATGGTTATAAAAGTAATACATGTTACTTGAACTTCCATTATTATTTAAAATTAGGACAGACAAATCCCTCTTGCTCTTACTCCATTATCATTGATGACCATTCTACAGCATCTGATATTATTGACTTCTTATTCTGTTTGAAATTGTCTTCTTTGTTTCCTGACACACTATTTTCCACATCAGATGAAAGCTCAATGAGGGCAGAAATATTTATTCCATTTACATCTATCTTACTTAATTCCTGTTTAGAACAGTACTTGATGAAAGGAAGGTATCATTAAATATTTCTTTAATATTTGTCCTTTTTTCATATCTGTGCATTCCTCATCTGATTCTTCCTTTTCACAAATCTTAAACCTGACTACTTCCCCACCATTTAACAATTGCCCAGTCACAGGATTCTTTTGACAAATAAGATAGCAAAATTGTGAGGAACCTCATGAATCTCACCATCTGATTCTTATAATTTATTCCACTGTGTTTTTAAATATTATTTGTACTGAATTAATTCTACTTTAATTGCAAAAAGGAAATGTTTTTCCATGTTGTAAAAATACATTGAGGATGTTTTGCTTATTTTCTGTATTTCTTTATATAAAACATGCATGTAAATATTGGCATAAGTATACTAAATGCTTTGAAACTTTATGCTACAAATGAATGTATAAGAACAAAAACAAGCCATGTAGAATTGGTTAGAACAAATAAATAAATAAATTTAAAAAAACGAAAACCAAAATAACAACAGCAGCAAAATGAGGGCAATTATATTGAGTCAGGGAAGGATTTTCTCCATATTCAATATCCATATCTACCCTTCTCTGACTTGAAGAATTTTGTTTTCCTTGTTAGTATAGCTAACTAATTCTATTTCCTATACAATACGTCTTGAATACCAATATAGACATTTTAATCATTATTTTACCATGCATTTTTAAAAAGTCTATGTTAAATTCAGTGTACTAGACCAAACCTACTTTTCATATTGACTGTATTTTCTCTGAACTTCCAGTTGTTTCTAAAGAAGATAAGATTTGTCACAATAATTATAACCTACTTGTTCCAGAATAAAACTGAAATCATTGAGCAAGTTTATTTTCTCCTTTAAAAAAAGATTAAAAACAACAGCAACATCAAAAGCCTAGTATCTGTGAGGTCTTGGGTTCAATTTCCAGTCCTGAAAAAAAATGCCCCTAAACAACAATGATCAAAAACAACATTTTTGATAATTTTGCATCATTAAACTGATGACAAGTCACTGACAACTTTTCACGTGTTTATTTGCAGTCCATATTTCTTCTCTGGCAAAGTGTTGAAATACGTTGCCCATTTTAATTGTTTTTACTGTTGAGTTTTGAGAAGTCTTTATATATTCTGGACATAAGATTTGTTGAACATGCAATTTGTTCATGTTTCTGATTTTTCATAGACACTCCATCACAGCGAGTACAGTTTATTCTTGGAACCGAGGATGATGACGAGGAACACATTCCTCATGACCTTTTCACAGAACTGGATGAGATTTGCTGGCGTGAAGGTGAGGAAGCTGAGTGGCGAGAAACGGCCAGGTGAGGATTTTGGTTGAAGGTTGAAGGCATATTAAATAATTTTTATGTTATTGGAAAAAGAATTCCCCACTTCAACGATTTCACAAACATCAGTGATTACTGCTGATTTCTGAACTTGCTCATCTGGCCTGGGCATATCCTATAATGGGATATAGGTCAGAATGAAATCTGAAGGCAGTAATTATAGTAAACAGTGACGCAGAGCCAGCAACAGCTGCAGTCTTAAAGATATACAGTAGCATAATTTGTGTGTCATCAACAAAACAATAGAAATCTAAAAGTAATTTATTTTATCTTTTCAGCTGTTGGCTTGAACCCAAATTGGTGATATTACATGGTAATTTGAGTGTGGGCTTTGTTTTTTTTTTTAAAGAAAGGGCAAATATTATGATAAGAGGCTTTAGGTATAGGTCTGGATTTCATGTCCCATTTAGTGAGGATAAAAATATTTCATAATATGTTTGTAAGATATGAATACATTTAAACAGAGTCTTTTATCAAAATGGTTTTTCTATTAATTTATAATTCCTCTTTGTATGTTGCCAAATAATTAATGAATTACTATAAAAAATAATGAATCAAATTTCTTGCTTGCTTTTAACTCATTCTTGCTTCTTTAACATTTATGGAGTACCCATTATATGCTAGGTATAATGGCTATAGAACAACTACAACAAAACCTTAGGTCTTTCCCTTAACAATTTTATAGTCTAACTTAAGTCAACAAATATTGTAAAGGCTGTAAATGAATGCTCTGGTTCAGGTATACAAAAGGAAGTGTGGGCACAGCTAGGGTTGTCATTTACCCAGTGCTTCTCTAATTTTTATGTGAATACAAATCACCTGACATCTTGTTTAAAATGTAGATTTGGTAGGTTTGGGGCATGGAGTCTGGTCATGCTTTTCTAATGAGCTCCCAGTTGATGACATGTGTAGCAAGTATATCTAAACCACAGGACTGAAGGAAAGGGGAGCAGGATAGCTTCCCTGGCATAGGTTATTGCTCTTGAAGTTAACTGGGCAAAAAAGCAGAGGAGCAGGTGTACGAGGAGGGGAACATGATGTGTTATTGATTCAGGGTTTCCTGTTTTGTGGGGCTATCCTTTCCATGGACAGACAGCTCTAATTATTAAAATTTTTTTTCTGTTATTAGAGGACCTCAGATTGCAATAGTTTTCTGAAAGTTACAGAACTCTATTGGATCATGTCAAACTTGTAGTTTTATTTAATTATTGCCTTAACAATATCACATCAGAATTAATATGGAATTGATCATATAATCATGGTAATGAATTATGAATAATAAGGGCCCACATAATTTTTGTTTGATACAGTGGCCTTTACAGCTCTCTCTTATTTAAAAAATACTAAATAGAAGAAAACCAAAATGACTAACATCTAGTTCATCCATGTTGACATCTATAAAAATGGCTAATATTTGCCGATATTTGACATTAAAAAGTATAACACAGTAGAAAACCCAGGGTATCCCTCTACCCGTATGCAGGTAGTTGTCTTCAAAGGCAATTAGTTAACAGTGTTGTGCATATTCCCAAAAAACTTCAAATTCCAAAATCCAAATTCCAAAATGCCCTTTTTCAATTTTTACAGTAGGAATTATATAACACATGGTGTACATATCTTATTTTTCTCACTTATATTTATAACATTTCCTGTTTCAGCAACATAGACATACTTTTTTTGGAGGGGGCTACTAGGGATTGAACTCAGGGGCACTCGACCACTGAGCCACATCTTCAACTCTATTTTGTATTTTATTTAGAAACAGGGCCTCGCTGAGTTGGTTAGCACCTCACCATTGCTGAGGCTGGCTTTGAACTTGAGATTCTCCTGTTTTAGCCTCTCAAGCTGCTAGGATTACAGGCATGCACCACTGCACCTGGCTAGACATACCTTTTCTTTTAAAATGACTGCATTCAGCTGCATGGAAAAACTTTATATAACCTATCATAATAGACATGTAGACTGAGTTTTTTCCCCCATAAAATTGTTATAATGTTTATTTACACATGTATCTTTTAGGTACTTATATAGGGTAAATTTGTAACAGTAGAATTTTATGTACCAAAGAAAGCAGACATTTTAGATATTGCAAAATTACCATCATAAAATGTTTTACTAATTTACACGTCCACCAATAGTGTATGAAGAGTGACTTATTTCCCCAAATCCTTGTCAGGCTAAGTCATCAAACTGTTTTAATTTTTTCCTATTTCATATATGAAAACATGAATCTCATTGTTTTAATTGGTTTTCTTTAATTGTTAGAGAGGTTCAATATCTTTTCATGTTTTATTTTTCTATGGTGTACTTATTGTTCATTCCTTTTGCCCTTTTGTGTCAAATCATTCATTATTTTATTTGCCTTTTTGAATACTTTAAATTGGTGATATGTTATTTAGTTATTATCTCTGGGTTTTGTTTTTGTTTTGCATCAGGGATTGAACTCAGGGGCACTTGGACACTGAGGTACATCCCTAGCCCTATTTTATATTTTATTTAGAGACAGGTTTTCACCAAGTTTCTTAACGCCTCATCATTGCTGAAGCTGGCTTTGAACTCCTTTGAACTGCTTTGATCCTCCTGCTTCAGCCTCCCAAGCTACTGGAATTAAAAGTGTCCACCTCTGTGCCCAGCCAGTTATTACTTCTTTTAATGAAAATTTTACATGAATTAATCAATTTTACTTATGATAATTTTTATTGTAATATTTTAAAAATAGCTGTTTAAAAGTTTTTATTTAACCTCGTCAATTTAAAGATTAAGAACTTTCTACTTTATTTTTATTCTCCAAAAATATAAAAAAACTAACTAAAAAGGAGCTTTAAAATATATATGTGCTCAAAATTTTTATTTGATGACAGGAAAGCAATGTATAATAATCTTTTCCACAATTAAGTGATAGAACCTTTTCTCTTTCATGAATAAAGTTATTGATAAGGAAGTTAAGGTGCCCACCTTCTTGTTTAAGGCTGGGAGCATCTGTCCTTCACTGGTTATAGGAAACAGGTTAACTCTAATGACTTAAAGGAAGATGTGATGGTTTTGATGACTAGACAACTCTAGTTTCTTGGATTCCCTTGAAGTTATTGTTAAGGCTTACATTTTGGAAGCTTTTCTATTCTTTAACCTCATCCTTAAACTGAGGAGTAAAATTGGGATATGTTTTGGCAACAGTAACTTCCTTATTCTTGGAATGGTTGGTGATTTTCACCTTCTAGGTCAGATGGTGACCCATTCCTTTTAACCAGAAACTTTCCAGTAACTTTTCCATCCTCATAAAGCTGGGAAGGGGCAGAAGCAATACAAGAATCTAGCTTTGGGCTGGGGTTGTGGCTCAGCGGTAGAGCACTCACCTCGAATGTGTGAGACCCTGGGTTTGATCCTCAGCACCATATAAAAATAAATAAGTGAAATAAAGGTATTGTGTTTAACTACAACTAAAAATAAACATTAAAAAAAAAGAATCTAGCTTTTCACTCCGTCACAATTGAGCAGGTAGTATTGTATCATTCTCTAGAGGATTACCTTGAAGATGTTTATTCTAAACCACCACAATTATTGCTACTTATCTTTTTTTATTTATATAGGACAGCAGAATGCATTACAATTCATGTCACACATATAGAGCACAATTTTTCATATTTCTGGTTGTATACAAAGTATATTCCCACCAATTTGTGTCTTCATACCTATACTCTGGATAATAATGTTCATCATACTTCACCATCATTAATAACCCTATGCCTCTTCCCTCCCCCTCCAACCCCTCTGCCCTGTCTAGAGTTCATCTATTCCTCCCATGCTCCCCCTCCCTATCCCACTATGAATCAGCCTCCATA